TATGATTTTTTTGGTCATATTTATTTCTTTGATTTGGATTATTTTTGTTCCTGAGTTAAGTTTTTCTTTATCGCACACAATATCGTCATCACAATATTAATCACTGTTATCGCATATCGCAGGTTTTCCTAATATCGTGCAGCCCTAGTAGACACTAAGAAGGGCTGGGGGCATGTTTCAGTTGTTAGATTAAGGTTTTAAAAGATGAACGAACAGCGAGGAGAAAGGTTTTGCTTTACATTCTACAAGCAGACACTAGGGGGTGCTAGAAGCAAGCCAAAACTGCTAGTTCCACTTTAAACATAAAGGTAAAATTATGGCTATTATTCCCTTGCAGTCAAAGACAGAACATATACATTTGATCTGCTAATTGAGAGCTGATTACTTCCTTGAAAATGAGATAATTTTTGCATCCAATTAAAACTTTGCTGGTGTGGAATTATTTTGTCACAAATACAGATTTGTCTGTTAAAGCTCCGAGTGGTCCCATTTATTTTATAGCATCAGAGCTATTCCTATCCATGTAATACCTTGTTTTAAGCTCATAGATCAATATGTTCCTTGTTGATGTCTAAACTACTTCACATTCAGAGTGTGCTGACACAGACCCAGATAAGGTATCTACACTAATGGAAACCTTTCAGGTCAGAGCATTAAAAAGGAGCTCAAGATTAAATTATCAAAAGCATCTAAAAGCATAGAAGCTAAATCTGTCACGCTGGTGCGCATTTAGTTTCATCATTTCCTCCTTCGAAAAATACATGTTTCAAACGTGCAAAAATGCAGCTATGCAAGTGCAGCATACTGACTTGTTCCCTAGGAAGCTGTGTGGTTTCCATGATAACATTAATTCAATTCAATTCAAAGATACTTTATTAATCCCAGAGGGAAATTAGAGAAGGGAAAGTGGTGGGGGAAGAAGTAAACAGATTGGTGGGGATTAGAAGATTTAATTTAAAAGTAGTTTTAAACTAGTTCAGGAATAATGTTTAAACGTGCTACTGTTTTAAACACACTGTATTTGTGTGTATAAATGTGCGGACATGGCCTTCCTCCAGTGGTACTTTAATTATGTTTATTCTCATGGAGAGTGGAGGTTTTAAGGGATGACCTGCAGGTAAATGATTGACTTTAACAGCTTTAGTTTAACACATTTAACAAGTAGCGGTCATAAATTACATGTGGCTGTACATTTTTTTATGCATCAATATCCTGGCTGAGTGCAGATGGCATCAGATGCAACTACAACGGGCGACGGTGGCACAGGAGTTAAGTGCTCGCCCGGTAATCAGAAGGTTGCAGGTTCGAGCCCCGCTCAGTCTGTCGCTGTCGTTGTGTCCTTGGGCAAGACACTTAACCCACGTTGCCTGCTGGTGGTGGTCGGAGGGACCGGTGGCGCCAGTGCTCGGCAGCCTCGCCTCTGTCAGTGCCCCAGGGCAGCTGTGGCTACATCGTAGCTCATCCCCACCAGTGTGTGAATGTGTGTGTGAATGGGTGAATGACTGATTGTGTTGTAAAGCACCTTGGGGGGTTCCAGTACTCTAGAAGGCGCTATATCAAATACAGGCCATTTACCATTTACCATTTACAACCTGCTTAAAACAAATCACACAATAGCTGCAGTAATTAAACTCAGCTTCTACTGCTGAATGGCTCTTTATCTCTCCCTGCTACTGTTGAGAACAACAGCGATAGGTGGTGTGACAAGCCTGGGAAACCAGCGTGATCAGGACAAGCATTTGCAATAAACTGATTATCTTTCGAACACACATGCACCCACACACATAAACACACACACACTTTTCAATATGAAACATCGGAATTTTCTGGGAAATTTCCACAAATCACTAGACCTTTAAACACTTCCCTAAACTCACTCAACACCACAAAATGTGAACTCTGAACTTTTTGCAAAAGTCTTTTTTTTAGCTCAACTGCCGGGAGCAACCACACCTCAGAAATGTGCTATCCGTCAAAAGGTTGCAGAGCAAAAACAAGGTTGGGAAACTAACTTTAAAGTCTAAAAACTGTATTTTCACTAGTGGCTAAAGACAAAGAAAATGTAAACATTTTCTCTCACAAGCTGTAGACTGACCTTTGAATGACCAACGTTTGGAGACTCAGGAATGCCTTTGCATCTGATTAATGAGCTACAGGAGTAAGGAACAGGAAACAACTTCTGAACTAATATTTCTGCAGGAATAACTGTTTAACAACAAAAACTCAAACCTTAACATGTCTTAACATGAACCACTGAACATGAACCTTCGGCCATGACCCATTGACAGCTCTAAGTTGTGGGGCAAGATCTACTGTTGTCTTTCAAACACACAACACGATGTTCTTACTGCTATGTCGGTCAACGGGGCGGCCCCCCCACCGTCAAAGAAGATGCAAACACATCCTTTTTATAAATAAAAGACTTAAGCATCTCTAACTGCTCTTGACTCAAACAAAAGCCCAAGTCTAAATAGTCCAAAGTTGATGCCAAAGCCGTTTCAAACAAGCCATTGCCATATTTTGCTCAGTCGACATAACACCAAACCCATAGAGCACTGTGATTGGCAAGCCACCAGACTGGCTAAGAACATTCCAATGGAGCTTGGCTGGACCGACAAAATGAGTTTGCTTCTGCTAATGTCTGTCTAAATTTCTAGGCAACCTCTATGCTCAGAAAATTGAGTTCTAGTTGCAAGTCTGAAAAGCAGCAGGATTAAGTCATTCTTGTGTTCTAGTGCCCTGGTTAATTAGTGCTAGCAGTTAAAGCAAATAAACAGACTGATGTATTGGTTGGCCGATATATTGAGCAGATATTTACCATTTTCACATGTTGACATCAGCCAATATACCTCTTCAGTAGGGCTAGTTTAAAGTCAAGCACACTCATGGATAGATAGATTGATGCTGCATTTAAATTTTATTTACAGGGATACTTTACAACTTTTTTTAAAATCATTTTCTTGAGCCAGTATGTGCAAAAATGACTGCAGTTTTTTTTATCTGTTTGATTAACTTTGGTTAAATGTTTGATTTTAACACTGAGAAGTCAACAAAACTATGATCAACAGTTGGTTAAAATCTGTGGTCGAAGACTGATTAGGTTCAGAAATGTTGTGCATCCATCAATGTTATTAGTGATGTGTTGGGAAGCAGATAGGACAGAAAACATCTAGATATTGGCCAAAAAAACTGACCTCAACAAAATCAGCAGTAAATTTCCGCCATTCAGTGACTATGACCTCTACATGTCGGTAGATCTCCTTTTCTGTGCATTCAAACACACGATGCTCACTAACAACAGTTTACCAGTATGAGAGTAACAGAATTACAAAAAGTAAAAAACAGCAGCTGAAGCATCTTCTCAAAAGTGACGCAGCTCTCTTGGATTTTCAGGTCCAGTCTGGTTGAGAATCTCCAACTTTCTGTCAGAATTTCCACTTTGAGAGGCATTCCTTATAATTCGTCCAACTAGGAACTCAGCAATTCCAGCTTCCAATTGCAAATGGAATGCACCACTAGCCCTGCTCAGGCTAGCTTTAGTTTATTTCAGATAATAAAGAAACCATTCACTTTCCTGCCTTTCCCATCTCCATTAACACGAGGACGGTGCTGATGAGAGAGAACTAAAGACTGATCACAGCACAGGAGTGCAAAAGATTGTTGACGAAAACAAAGGAGCTGGAGCACTCAGGTGAATTAAGTTTGTTTTAATAGGTGCAAATTTGAAAAAAATATACTATGCACTAGTGTTTCGATGCAACCATGAGCTACCAAAGGATTGTTCTGGACTGCATATTCTGCTACATCAAAGTGCTTTAACGAGATCCAGAAAAAACACTTTTGTTTACAGGAAAAGGAAAAATGAATGCAACTTGTACTTTATTAATTCAATTGAATTCAAAAATACTTTATTAATCCCAGAGGGAAATTGATGAATGAGAAAATGTGCTAGAATGACATAAAACGAAGCAACAACCCCTCATAAAACCAATTTCTGTCTTGGTATTGGTGCTGCTAGCATGTTTGTGCTTTGAGCAAAACCACCTGGTGTTAATCAAGAACCCTCAGCTGTCTGGAAACATGAAGACTACACTCTCATGCTTCAACACCGCTATCTCAGCCACACAGGAGTGCTCGGTAACAGGCACCAAGGATGGTGACAATACATGAGTGTTTACACAAGTTATTTTGATATCATGTTAGATCTGACGCCATCAGTTAAAACATTTTCCGATCACTATTCAAGGGTCTCAAGCTGCAGAATGCATATTTACTGGTTCTATTTTGAAATTAACCGCCGTCTGTGATAGGCCCAGAACACATGTGGGTTTGCAGCCAGCAAATTTGAGGTTTCCTGACGTCTTACTCAGATGGCAGAGAAAAACATTTCATCATCGCTGTTCATTCCCCTCGCGATTTTCACAGTCATAATGTGGGTCGGTGGCAACAGTGTGCACCGGAGGTGAGTCAAACCTGCAGGGTTCGCGTTGCAACAAGCATCCAGACAGCTGTGAGTAAATGGTGAGAACTAAACCAACCAAACAGAAAACCTCTCTTTGGGTAAGACCAGTCCTCAGATGGAACAAATAGGAGGCTGGGTAGACACACACACACACACACACACACACACACACACACACACACACACACACACACACACACACACACACACACACACACCGCAGCAATAGACACACACCAGTTGCCAGGCCTGCTGAGTGTTTTGCGTACATGTAATGATTTCAAAATGAGGGGAAAGAATTAATTTCATTAGTGTCCACACATGAGGACAAGGAGGAAATTCTACCTGCTCTGATGCAAAACAGCACACTTAGAAGCGCATTTACATGAATCGAAGGAACTGATTTCATCACAGTTCCTTCTGCAGTTTCACTTTTAGATAAAAACTTTCTGTGACTTGTTTCCCTTTCGTTGTTTGTTTGAACAGAAAAAAAGACCAAATGTGGCGATATATCATAGGTAGGAAAACGTGAACTCACAATCAGAGGCAGGGAGAACACCACAAAGATGATAGTCATGAGTGCCAGTAACACCAGGTGATCTATTTCTTCTTCCCCCTGTCCAAACCAGGCCAAGCTCAGCCTCTTCTTCCTCCCCACGGACACCACCGAGCCTCGCCGGACTATCTGGCTGAGGTGCATCTTGCACAGGCTGACGATCACCGATCCATTGCAGATAAACACGATGAAGATGAGCAGAGCCATGAGGGACGAGTAGGACAGGGAGAAGGCCTGCACCAAGTTGGCCTGGGCATCTCCTGTGGCATCCATATCAATAAAACACCACGTCCCAGGGCAGTACTGTCTGAATTTGCCAAAGCCACTGTATGGCAAGAGACAAAATGCCAAAGAAAAGAGGTAAATAAAGATGAGAGTAAACTTTGCAAAGCTTTGGCGGATGTGAACCGAGTAAAAGTACGGGTGGCTGATGGCGAAGCAGCGATCCAAGGCCATGGTGCAGAGGATGAGCGTGGGCGCCAGGCCAAAGAAGCTCACAACAAAGCCAAAAAGGTTGCACAGTCTTTCACCACCCAGAGCGATGAGGGACAAGTTCCGAGCATAGCAGATGAACACAGGTGGGCTCAGGAGGCAGGTGCCCAGCAGGTCAGTAAGGGCCAAGCCCGTCACCAGGATGCAGAAGATGGACGACCTGGAGCGACGTTTCTTCTGGTGCATGACCAGGATGAAGAGGGCGAGAAGGTTTCCCACCACTCCAGCCAAAAACATCATGATGCTGATCTTCAACTTGCCCCCATTACCCACAACGTAGGTGGTGTTGCTGCAGGATGTGTTAAAAACAGAGCTATGGTTCATGTTTACCTCTCTCCCTGAGGTTTTTTTATGGTAGTCTTTGATGGCTAACCTTTAAAACTTGCCAGACAGTAGGAGAAGTGATGTCCTCTGTTGATGATCACATGACAACGCAGGCAGCAAGGATGTATGGAGAAATCCATGCTGCTGCTTTAAACGCTACTCAGAGCTTTCCGTCATGGTCCTGTCTCTGTTTAGAATTATTTCTGTGGGGGAAAAAAGCATGAAGGCTTCAGATTACTTACAGACATTTCACACACATGAATAACTAATTATCTATTGAATCAAATGGCTCCATAGGCTCATAAAAAATAAATAATGACAACTCACATTTCACTAGAGCCAGGAAAGCGGCCAATCCTGTAGCTTTAAGTTGTTTTTATCCCACGGTCTCTGTTAATAAATCAGAATGCGAAACCGGAGAAATATTCCATCAAGGTAGATGGACGCGCGCGACGGTCCGATCGGAGCGCGTGGCTGCTCTGTGAAGGAGCGTGTTCTCCGGTGAAGTTTGTCTCTCAGAGCGCCTCCAGATCTGTTTCAGATCGATGCAAGTCCCTCCCACCTCTCAGTGCGTGTCACCGAGCGCTGCATGGAGCTGAAACGGAAATAGTGCATTTAAATCCCAAACACGATCGTCCTGGTTTCTAATGTTTCCGTCATTTTAGGGTGTGTTTGACTTTGTCTGCTTATTTTTTCCTTTAAGATAAATAACTCAACATTGTCTCTACAAACCAAAACTAGCAGACATGACATTTAAAAAATGGCAAAAGCACTGAGCATACAGATCTTCCAGCAAGCTCTAATTGGCTCTTTATTAATAACTCCCAGGTGAGGATGGCGCATAGTCTGGACTGTGTCAGTGAAACAGCAGACACAGAAACTCAAAACAATTATTGATAGATGTGCACATCCCTCCCAAAGCAGTAAACAGCTTTTTGAGCTGACCCCACACAAGGAAGAGTTCATGATGGTTGGTAAATTTACACAAGTTGTGATGGTGATGGACGGGGAGTTTGCCAAAGTTGCAGTGAACAGTTGACTTACTGTAGAAGTGATCCAACAGGTTCAGGTGAGTTCAGCACAGAGCTTTTGGAAAAGTAAATGAACAACTAAATCCTGGATGGGTGGATGAACATAAGTGATAAGGTGCAAAGGTCTTTAGCCCCTTGTTTGTTCCTTCAAATCAGCCAAATGTTCTCACCATCTTTAAAATGGTCTTATTTCAAATTTTCTGACTATTTGAAGGTATATTTGAAGTTTTCTTTCAATCTAAGCAGATGTTCAGTTATTTTCAGATCATCCATCCATCCATCCACAGTGAGGAAACCAAACACCCCAAACATTCGTCTCCTTGGATTGTGTCCCTAAAACCTACAGAGACCACATGGAGGCGTCTTAATCCAAACCACCTCAGCTGACTCCTTTCAGAGTGGAGCGAGCCCCACCACCCCACAGAGCAAATGGTTTTCATCCGCTTGTATCCTTAATTTAGTCATGATCCAAGTGACTGGTGATGGTCAGAGATGGACCTGCGCAACACTCTCATTGCTTAAACGTTCCCATCAGTTGTTTAACTATTGGAACTAAACACCAAGAAAATTCCTCTGTTTGAGGCAATGGCTCATTCCCAACCTAAATGAAGCAAATCACTTTCCAGCTTCTCAGACCTCATGGAGCTGATTCCTGACCCTTAGTCCACTATCTGATCAACCAGGGGGGGGGGACCATGACTACCTCTGGAAAATTGTACACCCCCCCCCCCACCCCCCCCCCACCCCCACCCCCGCTTAAAAAAATCCTGTAGATGTTTCATATTGGTCTATTTGAGCCAAGACAAACTGAAAATGACCAAGCCAATCAATACATTTAAAGCTGCCATATCAAATATGGAAAAAAAAAACTAGCTTAAAGTAACAGACAGCAGTTCCCTGCTCCTCTGCCCTACTGGTTGAAAGTGGAATTACAATTACAGTAAACAACCCTGCAGCAGCCTGCAGTAGCTAGCACTAATGTGCTAACACTAGCATGAGCTATGTCTTACTAAACAGGCCACAAATCAAAAAGATCCACACTATTAGACAAACATTATCACTTATAACCAACAAAGCCAGGTCATCATCAGCCCATGATTTAATAGCCTTTTTCAGCTTCCTCAAACTAGTGTAAGTCGCACCGATGTTCACTTCAGTTTTAGCTCTTTGCTTCGCCTCCAAAGACATTACTCTCTTACTTTTACATCCAGGTTCTGCCATGATGCCAACAGAAAAAGCAAGCTTCTTCTTGTGCTTTTTATTGACAATCAGCAAACTGAAAAGGCAAAGTGAACAGAAAATAGCTAACAGCAGTAACGCAGGTATGAGAGTGCACCCTAGAACACGTGCAACTCAAAACCATTAAGTGCAGTATCTGGCCAGCAGAGGGCTGCAGAGTGGTGTCAGATATGAAACTGGTCAAGTTTCTAACCCAAAGGTGGGCAATCCTGGCCCTTAAGGGCCTCTTTCCAGCAAGTTTTAATTGTTTACCTGCTCCAACACACCTGATTTCTGAGTAAATCACCTGTTCAGCAACACGTCAGACTCTGCAGCAGCCTGTCAATCACCAGCAGATTCAAACCAGTTGTGTTTAAGCAGAGAAACAACTAAAACCTGCTGGATAGTGGCCCTCAAGGACCAGGATTGCCCACCAAGCAATCACTGAGATCAATGATAAAGCTCTAGCTTAAAATAAAAAATATTTAGTGTTACTATAAGACATATTTTCATGTTCTTAACAATGTTCTAACATAGCATATCTATAAATATAGTGTGGAGATTAAACAAACAAAATAATAATAAAGTGGTTCTCTTGCTTTTTTCTAAAAACCTTCGCCATTTGGACCAAAAGCAACTAATGGACCATCCGGTTGTCGGTCGCTAAATCGCTGCACTTCCCAGTCCTCCACACTTTACACACTTGCATATTTTGTAACAGAACACCACTGGTGTGAGAGGTTCTCAGCTCAGCTCGGCTGCTACCACTTCAACTCTAGGACAAACTAGAGTCCCAAAAAGAAAAACACAATTTGAAGCCATGGGCAGCAAAAGATGTTTGGACCTAAAACGGCAACTCTTGTTTTCTCTGGTGTCATAGGTTTCTGTTTCAGGTAGAAGCATCTCAGGGAAGATGCTGGAGGGGAGGGGTGAGTGCTCCCTGTTCGTGTTTGCACTCAAGACCTAGCTTGTTCTGTAGATTCGCTATAACAGCTTTAATTTCAAATCTATAAAACAAGGAATTTTGAAATAATAACTAAAATAATTTTTTGAAATGTTGACATTTTCTGTTTCTCAAATTTGAGATCAATGTGTTGGATGCATAGAATTCCTTTATTTATTTTTATAAAATAAGGAAGTATGCAACACACAGCTACAGGCTAACCCCCCCCCCCCATCCCCCCCACCCCCCCCAGAGCTACCACAGGGACCACTTTGGTGTGCCACCACAAATTTTCCACTGGCCCCCCTGTGATTAAACTCTGGAGGTGCTACTCTATCTGATCATACTTAGAGAAACGAAGCCACTTAAAGTTAAAGTCCCATTCCTTACTTCCTTACATCATTCAGAGATAAAAATAAATAAATAAATAAGTAAGTAAATAAATAAATAAGAAACTTAACAAAGAATCAGGTTTAAATATGACCATTTGGCATTCTGTTACCAACAGTCTGTCACAAATTCTCAAATTATTATGATTTTCTTTGTTCAGTTCACAAACAAATATGACAAAAACAGAATTTTTATTTAGATCCATAACTGATTATTTGGCCATTTGATACCAGCTGAGGTTCAAAAAGCATGAAAATGAACCAAAAACCACAACACTGGAAAAACCACAAGTCTGACTTGTGTATTTTAAGAGTAAATCCTATTGAGGTTAAAACCCAAACATGTATTCAGTTTCAAACTTGGTTTGAATTCTGAGAATACCATTGGATTTAACACGCAAAAGTTTAGAATTTCTTTGAACTTTCAGCTTATTGAAAGAAGATATAAAAAACATCCAGCCCAGATAAATGTGGTTCGGATTGAATTTGGTGTACGGTAATCATCCATCACTCATCTGTTTCTTTGAATTATATTCAAAAATTGACCGAACATGAGTTGGAACGTCCTGAGACGAATACACTGCGATAATTTCCTCTATTGTATGAAAACTTTAAAAAACGACACTTAATCTGACACTTAAATCATCTTCAGCTGTGAACATGAACAACAAATGTCCCTTGAGAATTGTGTGGGGAGAGAATTTCCTGAAGCAAGAGAATCATTTACAGGAAAAGGTTTTATGCCATTTAAAATTTACTAACTCAGAATTCACTGGAGATTGGTGCAAATATGCAGGATTTCCACATAAGTGGAGTCTTTGATTCCTAATTGAAAGCAGAATGCTGATGGTGATGCAGAGGTGAGTAAATAATGTGTGGAAATTATCTAGGAATGTTCGTCACACAACAATTATATTGGGTTTTGTTTATTTTCAGCCGTGCATGTCATGAAGAAGGAAATGCACCGTTTGCTTTGGTTTTTTTTTTTTTGTTTTTTTTTAGCTTGCCATCCTTTATTATTGGTTTTGCATTCAGTGAAGTAGAACAGATATTGGTATAGATGACAGTAAATAAGCTTTAATGAGCCAAAGCTGAAGCACAGAGATCAGCTGTATGTAGGTAAACAGGCCTTCCAGAAATAGCTCTGGTTCTCTGGCTTTCACAATAAAAAATAGAGCTGTTTTATTGTTTAAAGTAAAAGTTTGTGAGAGGGTTTCTATAAAACAGTTTATGAACAAATAGATTTTTTTACTAGTTGTGAAAAAAATACTTTTGAATAACCTCAACATGGAGAAACAGACATTAGATTGACCAGATTGATAAGCTAGTGGCTAGTTTGAGTCAGGTCAAGACCAAAGTGAACTGATGCCATTTTAAAACAGATCCAAACTGAAATTGTTTGTAGCTGCTCAAGCAAACACTTTAAGGGTCATGATATACTTGTTGTTTAATGATGCAAAGGTGTGTTTAAGATGGCTGCCACACATTACTTGCGTTGATTTGAAGCGTTTGTGGATGTCCCTCAAAATTAACGCAGCGTGTCCAAACACTGCACTGTATGAGTACCCAGTAGGTGGAGTGTTTTTTTCTGTTGAGATCTAAAAATGAGCCAGTTGGTGAGCTCTTTTATGGACGCCATGTTTGTTTTGGTTGCGCACCCACAAATCCGACTCTATCTGGCCTGAGTTCTCTATGTCGCCTCCTAGTGGAACACTCCAGTACTACATGCAGTGCCGTGCTATGTAGCAGCAAGTATGTAAACAAAGACGCAGTCTGCTGCCTACGCCAGTGCGAGGTTAAACATCAAGTATATTCCAGCCCTTAGACTGCTGGGAGTCTAACACTATTCCACAGTTTTGCAGAACTATCCTAGGAGGACATGTCTCAGGCTGAGCCTGACATGTATGTGTAACATGAAACTGATCATCACCTGGACACACATGACATG